GGGTTTAGGGTTTAGGGATTTATACACACCCTCATTGAACCCCAAACTCTAGAGTAAAGTCCTCTTGAAGAGGTCGTGCTTTTATTACAACCATCATCGAACCCCAAACTCGAAAGCTAAGACAAGTTGAACCCACCCCGAGCCGAAAGCCCTAACAGGGGCTTTACTTACGGTTTAGGGTTCAGGGTTGATGGTTTAGGGTCTTACCCCATAGGTTGGTTTTGGCACATGTTTTATTTTCCTTGTTTGGGTTTATAAGGGGCTCTTTATATAAATATCGTCCAGAGGGTTTAGCGGCCAACCCGGTTTTGCAATGACTGGGTGGTTGGGGCTTGATACTTTTGGCTTCGAGGGTCTGGCGTCTGGGGTTTTGATGTCAGGTTTTGGGCCAAGTTTTGGGGGTTTAATATCGGGGCCGCAACAATTACCTAGATTATTTTGGGGGTTCCTTGTTACAAGTATAGTATAATGGGCCCCTAAACCCTATTCTAATTGTTAAGGCCCCTATATACCCTATATTAATAGGGTTGATTGGTTTGGGGTTTAAAATGGCCTAAAGCTGGGTCTAGAGCTCCAGAGTTCTTAGGAGGGTTTTACTGTAAGGGCATTCATTGGCTTGTGGTTTACCCTGGAATGGGTACAGGGTTAACCCTGTTTTGGGGTTTCGGGGCTGTGTTCTTGGGGTCTGTAATTTGGGGGCGATTGGCTTCAGCATTGCTGGGTTTGGTTTTTAAGGGTTCGGGGTTTAAAGCGTTAGTTGAGGCCACGGTACTTTGCCACTATTTGCAAGTACGCCGCCAATTAAGACGCTAAACCCAAACTCCCTCAACCCTGAACATAAGCAAGACCCTAAATCCCTTGCCTAAACCCTGTTTACTCCCCTAAGCCTCAGATCCGTAAAAGTCTAAGAATCTAAGCCCCTGCACCCCAAGCTGATAAACCTAAGCTCACCTTCAAGAAGGAAAGAAAAGTGCAAACCTCCCTCTCCAACGATGTGGCACGCAACGATGTGGCACTGTAAGGAAAAGCTCTGAACTCCGAAACTGCTGCGTCGTCCAGTACATGGTTTATGGTTTAGGGTTTAGGGGTTTACGGGTTTAGGGGTTTAGGGGTTTAGGGTTGGACGTGTAACCCGATCTATTCTTCTGTAAATTTCCTGTCTCGGTCAGAGTCTTGGTTTTCGCTTAGGATAGGAACTATCCATGCTGTACTCTAGAATGACTCGAACCCTTATCGTAAGGCACCCTTTAAAGAAGCCTATTCTAGCTGTTGAGCCATATAAACCTTAAGCCGTAAACCCTAAACCCTAAACCCCAGACACTCAACCCTAAACCCTAAACCCTCAACCCTAAACCCTAAACCCTCAACCCTAAACCCTAAACCCTCAACCCTCAACCCTAAACCCCAAACCCAGCCTAGGAGATCGTTGGAGGCGTCCATGCCGGGACGAAGCGTCTTCAACTGAAATCTGTGTTGGAACGATATGGGGAGATCGACATTTGTCACAAGGCCTCTCAGGGTTGGAGTTTGTGAGGCTTTCGGATTGAGGGTTTCGGGTTCAGGCTTTTGGGGTTTAGGGTTGAGAGGGTTTTGGGCATTCGGATTGGCGGTTCAGAGTCGCACAGGGCTTCGAGCCTTGCGATATTTTCTGGCAGTGCGCTCAGCCCGCCATACTCTCACGACTCCATGGCAGGGAAGATGGAGTTACACCCTGAACCTTGAATCTCGTAAACCCTCAACCCTAAACCGAAGGGGAAGGAAGAGAAGGGCCATTTTCTCCCTGAGGTCGGCGACCCCGTCCAGCACATTCCTTGGGTGCGCTTCGTCAACGCTTCAGGTGCCGAAATGAGGGTTTAGGCTTTAGGATGTAGCTTCAGGAAACCTTGGCAAACAGTAAGATCTTGGTTCGTGCCAGTTTTGTGGACATCCTCTCCCCAAACTCGATTCTGTTGCAAATTTGGATATCCGATATCCAACATTGTGAGATCCCTCACCCCAAGTCCCCGCCGTCCTAGGTATTCCGTGGTTCAGGGAAGCCCCCGAGAGCCCATCCCGCGCAGGCGCGCGGCAAGCCATGGATGCCATAGACCGGCAAGAGGTTCGATGCTTCAACCAGCAGGGGAGAGATCCCAGGGTGTACAGCAAGGTTTATTTAGGGTTTACGGTTTAGGGATCTATAGGATATGGGTTTAGGGTTCAAGGTTTAGGGCTTTGCGGCTTGGGGGTCTTAGGGTTGGTGTAGGGTTCTTGGGTTTGGGGATTTAGGGTTCCGCAGTTTCGGCTTGTGGCGCTGTTACCCTACTCTTCAGTGTTCACTTCCATAAAGCAGTTATCTGGGGTTTACCATAGTCTCCATTGTAGTTCCTTTTTTTGGTTTAACCATTTTGATATTAAGGATCCTATAAGGTAACCCCCACAAAGGAACTACAATGGAGACTATAGGTAAACCCAAGCCCTTAAACCCTAAACCCTAAACCCTAAACCCTAAACCCCTAAACCCTAAACCCCTAAACCCCTAAACCCTAAACCCTATAAGCCCTAAACTATAGGTAGATTTCATGGAGGTCTAAGCTCGGCCTGAGTTTGCCTTGTCTCCGCCACTCGCCGACAGAGTCTCAGCCATGGAGTCCCCAACTGCAAGCCCTAAACTCTAAACCCTAAACCCTAAACCCTAAACCCTAAACCCTAAACCCTAAACTAACTAAGGCCCTAAACTCTGTTAGCAGGCTTCAGGGCTTTAGGGTTTTAGGGTTTAGGGTTTGGGGCTTTAGGGTTTTAGGGTTTAGGGCTTTAGGGTTTAGGGTTTAGGGTCGAGCTCTTGAAACCGAAAAGCAGTGAGCCTTCCGCCAAACCCCTAAAGACCTAACCGTTCGTTATTGCAGGCTTTCTAAACTAGATTCCTCTAGGGCGACTCTTTGATAAAGCTCTATAGCACCCTTGAAGGGGACTCTACTGTAGAACCCTATAGTACCTTTAAATGGCAGGGCTATTTTGTGGGCCGCAGGTCTAAACTACAAAGCATCTAAACGCGTTTTCGAGGTGCTCATCGATGGCGTTGCGATCAAGGCCCGGTGGAAGCCGAGAGGGAAGGACCGGGCTTGCAATGGGTTTAGGGTTTTATATAGGGGCTTATAGGGGCCTTAATAATTACCTACAGTTTGTTTTTTTGGGGGGTTCCTTATTAACATTACAGTATAATGGGCTAAGGTTCAGTTAGAATAGGGTTTTTGGGGTATAGTATACTATCATTATAATAAGGAGCCCCCAAAACCCTATTCTACTTCTTAAGCCCCCTACATTAGTCTAGCGGATTCGGGTTCAGGGGTCTTCCTAGCCTGCTGGGTGTTCCTGATGAGCTCTTCGTAACATGTTTATCAGGGCCCAGACCCAATGGTTACTGAAAGTACTAGGGTTTAGGGTTTACGGTTTAGGGTTTAGGGTTTAGGGTTACTAGCTTTGCTTTGGGTCTTTGGAATTTGTTCGTCTGCGCAAGCCCGAAACCCAACGCCAAACACAGAACCTTGCCTAGAACAACCAAGATACCTAACACAAAAATCAAGAGGAGATGAGCAGAAGTGCAGGGTCGCTCTATGAAGCATCATCCAAGCCAATAAAGTTGTAAAGTCCTAAACCCCAAGCTCTTACACTGAGACCCTCAGACCTCAAACCAAACCTGTCTAGTAGATTGCAAGCTTTCGGCCCATGGATTAGGGTTTAGGGTATATTTCTTTGGGCTTAGGCTAGCTGGTTGACGTTTAGGGTTCAAGAGCATGCCGTGGGGCGCAAGATCACCTTCGAAGACGCAGTATACTCAAAACTTCTCAGTAGTTTCGGGGTTACACTTGCCGGATGGGTTTTCAAAGCTGCGTGCTGAACAGGACAACACCGCGGATGAGCGCAAAGGCTACACAAGTCGAGACATCTTCATGGCGGAGAAGCAGCGCAAGGGCGGCGGCGGAGGCGGTGGTAGCAGAGAGCTAATGCAACAAAGTAGCAGGCGTAGCAGCCGTAGCCGCAGCCGAAGCAATGGCCGGCGCAATGCGAGAGGTGGTGGCGGAGGTAGCCGGTCAATGATCTATGACGACAGGCCCAGAGATCGCGACCGCTACGACGATAGGCGCCGAGACGACCGGGGCTACGACGATCGAGGTCGTCATGATGATCGGCGCGATGACCGGCGGGATGACAGGCATAGCTACGACGACCGCCGTGATGACCGACGCCGCGATGATCGCCATGAGGACCGCAGAGATCGGGAGGACAGCAGAGACAGGGGCCGTTACACATCGAGCCGCGGAGGGCGCCTGTGAGCAAAGCGATGCCTTTAGCAGCGTTTCACGCTCTGCCCGAGGCTGCACCCTGCACACTCTATCCGAGGGTGCCACCCCCCGCATCTTTGCTACCTGACGATAGCCTATAACATAAGACTTTAGGCGGTTGCCACAATAAGTCTGCTCGCACAAGAGAGTCTATGCCACAAACTGGACCACAAACCTGAGCCGTGCTTGCTGAGCTTGAAGCCACCGTGAGTTGAAGTCAGATGATTCATGGCAAATTGCCTCGCAACGGCCCTTGCCGCCGGGGATGCCGGGAAAAGCTAAAAACAAAGCAGAAGCAACAGATCCAACAGTGTCTTCAAGCTACACCATACCCCAAGACCTGCTAAATTAGAGCGGAGATGACTGTTACTGTTGCGGCTGCCCCTAAACCGTTGCATGCATGCCGTAGCTTTCGTTTTCAGGAAAATCACGTGAAACTAGATGTTTCCCCATCTGATTCTATCAGGGCAGGGGGGTCTTCTACAATTGAGTCACGCATTGGCGCACTAAATGGCCAACTGCGCCATCAGCTTTTCTTCTGCCCTAACAGGGGAAGCCAATAGTAGAAAGGGCCTCACATGTTGTCCATGCTCCACGCTGGTGTATAATTCCTGGATTTCGATGTGCAATTTTTTGGTTGTTGGGACGTGTGTGCATGTGTGCACGGGTACATAATTTCCAACAACAGAGCTGCATAAGTTCCCGCCTACGGCTGTTGAAAGACGGGTAGAATCACGCACAGAGGTGTTGTAACAGCCCGCTAGAAGCGAAACCCGGAGTGTTAAATGTAGGCACGGCTAAAGTCCAGCCGAGAACCCTGCACATGAGGTTTGTAGGAATTAGGCAAGACGGACCGCCGATCCCTGCGATCCCGGCCAGTGTTATCTCTCTGGCTGCCTGCCACGGAAGCGCTTGCAGTCTAGTTTTGAGTGGTTCAGAGACAAAGCTTTTGTCGCAGGGCTTCCAGATGGGGCTTGCAGTCTTGCAGGGCTTCTAAGGTTGTTCGGATGTTTGGGCAGCCTTCGGTAATGCCCAATGGTTTAGGGCCTAGGGCTGAGTCTTACGTGATCCTTGAGTTCAGTCAGTAGGTTGTCTCTTCCATTACCCAGCTAGACAGGAATGCTTCTTACACCCCCAACGTTTAAGGGTTGTCAAAGCTTGAGTCTCAGAAAACATAGAGGGATCCAAATACTAAGGCATCTATTACGTGCGGTCGATGTTGTTTTTTGCTGGTTTCCCATATACTGTTTCCTGAAACACCCCAATGCAGGAGATCATAATTCGGGCGATCAACATTTACCATAATAGCCCATGTAACTGTATACATAGGTAGCTAGTTAGATAGGAAATGACAGATAGTTAGATAGATAATTGGATAGATAGATAGATAGATAGATAGATAGATAGATAGATAGGTTGGATGTATGCATGTATGCATGCATGCATGGATGTATGTACGCATATATGTATGTACCAGTGCAATCGTCCTTTGTGTTGGTAGTCGTCGTCGTAGTGGTAGT